TTTGTATCAGTGGTTCTTCTTTGGCACCCGGCTCAGAGAATGCCAAGGACTCCCCAGTTCAATCCAGGCTGCTCCTCTTGGGTCTGCCCTGCTCCGCTTTCTCGGAGGAGAGAAAGTGCTTCTCCTCCCGTGAAATCGAGAGGAGGCTCAGGGGAACCTCTGCCAACGGGCTCCATCCTGCAGAGCCCCCAGGCCTGGTTCCCCCAAGCAGCAAAATCAGAAGTGAAAGAGGAGCTCTCAGCCTTGGAAGGGGGGGGAGGGTCTCCGCAGGAGTGTTCCTGATTCCCCAGGGGCTCTTCCGGTGGTCCAAGAACGCCCTTGGATGCCCGATTTTGTCCCTGCTTGGGTCCCAAGGGGCCCACGTCTTCCTGCCCCACGGCCTTTGCACAACCGGCGTGCAAAAAAGGGAAGCCCGAGGGGCCGCTCCACTTCGTGCTGACGTTGCCCTGGGCTGAGGGAGGGAGGGGGGCCCTTGCAGCCCTCCAGCTGCCGCTTTCAGCGCTGGGCGGTCGTGCAGCCCGGATGGCAAGGTGGTGGGCAAGACGGGCTTCTCCTGGAGGAGGAGAAGCCATCCTTTTTGGGGGGGGCTCAGGAGGCCTTTTGAGTTGGAAAGCTGGACTTTTGGAAGCGGTGGCAGGCCAGAATTCTTCAGTGGTGTGGAAAACATCGCCATGCCCGAAGGCCCCCTCCCCTGGTCTTCCACCTTGACCCCCCCCCCCAGGAGATGGGAGTTGTAGTCCAGCATCCGTGGACGCGGCCTGCTCCTCTCTCAGCCCTGCCTGATCAAACCTCCTGCTCGATTCTGAGCCGGCCCCCCTGCAGGGCCCCCCTTGTGCAACCGGTATGGAGAGGGCGGAGAGGCCCGGCGTGGTTCCTCACCTCGGGCGTGTCGTGTTTTTGTCCTTTCCACTTGCAGTACTCTCAGAAGGAAGACAAATACGAAGAGGAAATCAAGATCCTGACTGACAAACTGAAAGAGGTAAACCGCCCCAAAACAAGGAAGCGGGTTTTCTGGAGGAGG